GTGCCGGCCTGTGAAATATGGTAGCCTAGAAAAGTGACTTCTGTTACTCCAAATTGACACTTAGAGGTATTTATTAAAATGCCATAGTCTCTTAACCTCGTGAAGAGTTGACAAAGATGGTCCTGATGTTGTGACTCATCCTTCGAAAATACTAATATGTCATCGAGATATGGGTAACAAAAATCTAAACCACGTGTCACTTCATCTATAAACCTTTGGAAGGTCTGAGCGGCGTTCCGTAGACCAAAAGTCATATATGGAAATTCGAAGAGTCCGAACGGTGTAGTTATAGCAGTTTTTGGAATATCCTGCTCAAAAACTGGTAACTGGTTATATGCTTTAACTAAGTCAACCGTAGAAAATATGTTACATCCAGACAGGCTATGAGCAAAGTCCTGGATATGCCTAATGGGATATTTGTCAGGAATTGTCCTAGCATTTAGCATTCTGTAGTCACCACAAGGACGCCAGCTATTGTCCTTTTTGGGGGCTAGATGAAGCGGTGAGGACCAGGAGCTTTCTGAAGGTCGAGCTGTGCCGTTAGCCAACATGGCTTCAAACTCAGCCTTAGCGATCCTTAGCTTATCTGGAGCGAGACGTCTTGGTGAACAAGCTACTGGTGGGCCTGGTGTGGTGCGAATGTGGTGTGTAATGTTGTGTTTTATGATGCGTACTGGGCCAGCTGGTCGAGTGATCTCAGAAAATTCGGAAAGTATATTATTATATTTATTATCACAAGACATGATCTTAACGCTAGACCCTAGACTATCTACACTACTAGAAATCATGGCTACAGTACACAAATTAGTTGTATTATCTATTAAGCGTTTATTGCGAATATCTACAACTAAATTAAAATAAGATAAAAAATCTACGCCAATAATTGCTTTAGATACATCTGCAACTACAAAACGCCACATAAATTCTCTACGTAAGCCTAAATTTAAAATAAGTTGTACATAACCATACGTGTTGATCGTAGTACCATTTGATGCACACAACTGGTAATCCGTTTTTGCACGTCGTTGTTGAATCGCGTTATGAGGAAAAACACTCACATCACTTCCTGTATCGATTAAAAATTGCACTTTCGAACTGCGATCTGTCACAAACAGGCGACCAGTATTAGAAGACGGAGGGCAATCGTCAGCCGCCATCACCGACTGCCCGTCTCGTTTCCCGACTTATAATCACATGGTAAGGTACATCTAGTCGCTTTATTGCCGAATTTGTAGTGATACCAGCATATGGGAAACTTCCTAAAGTTGGAATGTGATCTTCTAGAATTGGAATGACTGCACTGACGTGGCCTTTGTCTATGCCGTGGACGCGCACGATCGAAGTTCTGGGTAGTCAGTTCACTCACTTGCTTCGTCAATGCCGTTATTTGACGCGCCATGACATCCATCGCCGATTCTAACCTTGAAATAGATGCTACTGCCAATTGAGGCTGGCTAGGTGCTATATCATGTACCCTGTCCGCTAATTCGGCTAAATCTTGAAGAGCCATATTAGGTTGAGAAGCGATAATAGTCTGTAAATTATTTGGTAAACGACTAGTCCACACATCCATAATAAAATCGTCAGGCATATTCGGTCCTGCTAATTGTTCTAAGTGTCGCAAAAATTGAGAAGGTTTGCGATCTCCTAATTCCTCAGATTGTAATAATTGTTTCACCTTCTTCTGTCTCGATATAGAAACACGCTTAATAAGCTCTGATTTAAGCTTTTCGTACTTGCCAGTAGAGGGTGGATTTTCAATTATATCCTCGACCGTTGCAGAATATTGCCCGTCCAAATGCGCCAGAACGTAATAAAATTTAGTGTTGTCATCTGTTATCCGTGCTAAGTTAAATTGCGCTTCAATTTGTGCAAACCAAATCTTAGGTTTTTCTATCCAAAATGGCGGTATACGCACGCCGACGCGAAATAACTCCGTCGAAAGATCTCGGTCCGTTGAAACGCGCTCACATTTCTTAACACGTTGGCGAACACGTGGACTTTTCGCAGAGGGTCCAGATTCTGCTGTAGCACCGTCGTCACTGCTCATTTTAATGTTCAATTGGGGTCACCACTGTGGGGGTTTGGTAGTGTGTTGTTGTTGAGTTGGCGAGAACTTAATAAAAGTCTATGTACAATTCACAGCCTTTAATGCACTATTTTACACCCACAAAATATAGAAGGAGAAAGAGCAAAGCGGAAAGATAGTTCATACAGTTTACACGATAGAAAGCACAAATATAGTAGAAATAAAATACATAAAATTACGAAGCTTATATGATTAAGTACGTAAGCTTGGAATGGCGAGTAAGCGAGCGGTACGTGTCTCTCGTCTAGCGTGCGGATTGCGACTGACTGGAGTTGAAACTTTTAACTTTTAATTAACTCGAAAAGATCATAGATGCTAATGCGCGGGCGCCGCTAATGGTAAACACCGAGGTGCGGTGCGCGGGAGGAAAGATCACATTGCGTCACCTCGATCAGCTGTCCGCGAGGCTCAAGTTCAAGGCTCAAGTTCTATGCGTATTTTTTTTATTTTTTTATTTTTTTTTATTATGTAGGGTGTGTGTAAGGTGTGTGAATTTATTTAATGTTTTATGATGAATGTAAGTCAGCCACAAATACATATCATAAATATAAACACCCATGACTGAAGTACAAACATTTGTGCTTATGAATCACACAAATGAATGCCCCCACTGGGACTCGAACCTGCGACCGCTGGCACAGCAAGTAGGGTCACTACAAACTGAGCCAAACGTGTCGTATCTAAATTGATAGAAAAGAACTAATTTTCTTTTTTAATTCCTCATGAACTTTGACTTTAAGGACCTATGGGGTCTCTACTAACACTTATTCAACTTATCTATTAATACGAATAAAATCCGTGAATTAAATTAACAACAGCAAGAGGTTAGTTATGTTTTTAGAGGCAGCCAGGGGATGCAAAGAAATGCAAATCAACTTAAATTTAATTTATTAACTAAAAGTTCTTACTACTAAAATGACTGTCGATCGATGTTAGACCAAATCAGTGAAGATGCAGCCAAGTAATGCCTTTTATACTACATTATTGTAGGAAGTTGAGATATTGGCATTGATGAAATGTAGGTGGCTGCTGCGCTTGCACTTGCGCCTGACCTTGTCTTGTCGTCGCTGCGCGATGTTTGTAGAGCAAAGCTGATGCGACGATTCGAGTTCCGTAACAGGTTCGAAGATTTTTTACTCTTTATTCTAATATAACACAATTAGATACTACGAACACAAAAACATTCCAATTAAAGAATTTCTATGTATGTATGTAGAAGGAAAACTTCGCTACGCTCTCTATTACGGTCGGAACTTTCTTTTAACACAGAAGAAAATACAAGATTTTATATCAAACATTCAAAACTGAATACGTTATAAATCCAAATGCAATAAGAAACAGCTGTTAAAACACAATTTATTACAACTTTAGACCAACTTTAGCATAAAATATTCATTTTGCAATGAACTTTACTAGGCAAGTGGGGATGAAGCTTATTTGAATATATTTGAAATTCTTCAAGTTTACCAAAATAGCGGTCCGTAGTCGGCAAATAGACCCGCCGAATCTGTTTTGCATAATCGGGAACCTTTCTTTCAAAGGAAATTCACATTAGTTTTCATGAAAATGCTAATACGAAAATTTCGATTTTCTAGTTTATGTTCAATCATTATTTTAAGATTGATGAAACTAAAAACATATTATATAGTATCTCCTCAAAATAATATTCTAATAATGAGATATGAAAATAAGTTTACTTTCATCATATTTATTTAATAAATACAAATATCTATTATGTATATCTATCTATACATATAATAAAATTCTAAGTCTAATCTGTACATTAAATATTTTTTGGAAAAGCTTATTGAAATAGTCATTATTATCGATACATAGGCCGAATCTACAGTTTTCAGATTTTTTGTCTGTCTGTCTGTTACCGCATCACGAGAAAACCACTGGACAGATTTTGATGAAACTTAGTATGATGATAGCTGATTATCCGGGTCAATAAATAGGATACTTTTTACTGTGGGAAAATATCCCATCTCTGAGAAATCTATACTAAACATTAAAATATAACTAGTGACGGACCCAAGCGGAGCGAGGGTGAGATGCTAGTATAATATACATATATAATGCACCTACGAGTATATACATATGTGTTAAAAAATGGTAATGGGAAGCGCTGAAAGTATAGTTTTCGATAATGATCTATCGATGAATTATCGTCTCTAGCCGCTTTAATTTTGTGTTGAACACTTAATAAAAACTAAATAAGATTTTTCTTAAATGTCATTTGAAAGGTTAATACTATTGTTACAGTTGGTTTTTATCTCTCGCACTCATAAAATTTACGTCTAGCTCTGACGTAATTACGTAAGATTCTCCTCAAGCACTCATCCCGATACTCTCATTAACTCTATTTGTATTTGATTAGCACTTCATTAGTCTCTGGAGATTTTATAACCTAAATACGCCTAAGTAGGTAAATAAACAGCATTCGTTCTAAAACTAAAATATTTCTTTATTTATTGGAAAGAATTTTATTATCATTTCACTTTTTATCAAAACTAGATTACTATAAAAATAGGTATTTTTAATGTAAACTTCCATGACGTCTAATTTGGTTTTCTTTTTTAGAAAATTAAAGAACGATTTGAACGAATTGACGATACGTTTGGCTCAGTTTGTAGTGACCCTACATGCTGTGCCAGCAGTCGCGGGTTCGAGTCCCGCTAGAGGCATTCATTTGTGTGATGAGCACGAATGTTTGTACTCCAGTCGTGGGTGTTTATATTTATAATATGTATGTATTTAAAGTTATATATGTGTAGTGAATCAACTATCTGGTATCCATAACACAAGCCTCGTAGCTTAATGTCCCAACATATTTATTTATTTATATAAAAAAATGGGAAATTATTTGTTTCATTTAATTATAACTATTTTTTATTTATCTATTTTCCAGCTAAGCGACCTCCAGTAGAGGAAACAGCATCTTTCCTGCAATCGCTGATTGCTTCTCACGGACCCAATTACTTGGAGAAATTGTTTGGGAGCAAGGCCAGAGATGCTCTTGAACCACTCGGTGGGGTTGAGAAAGTTGCTATTGCTCTGTCTGGTAAGATTTATGTTTTTAATATGACTTATTCGTGTGATTTATATATTTTAAAACTTGAAATCTTACAAGATGAAAAGTTAGCTTGCAAAATTGAAAGCGATAAGACAAAAAAAATCACAATTGTTACCAGAATATAAAATAATAATCTAGTTATCATCATTATTTGTTACAGAATCACAAACCATTGAAGATTTCGGCGCGGCTCTCCACTTGATGCGGTCTGATCTGGAGCATCTTCGCTCGGTATTCATGGCAGTTGAAAATGGCGATCTTGGCATGTTGAAATCCCTGGGGATAAAGGATAGTGAGCTTGGTGATGTCAAGTTTTTCCTAGAGAAGTTGGTCAACACCGGTTTCCTTGACTGAATAGCGCCGGAGTCCGCCTCTGATTACTACCACGTCGTCCAATTCGGTCCTATCAGTTCTTCTTTCTACAGTTACCTTCCATACGATTCCTTTAAATATAAAAGAAACTGAAACATCTCTATCAATCCCCGTGAGAATGATGTGTGCTTGAAATTTTTATCGCGAGAAGCGCTTATTCGCAATCGGAATCGATTTCTACAACCGGCCACGTGGACTCGGTTCGACTCGAATGATTGCCTCTCGATTTTATTCCAACTCGAATAGATATGGCGTAATTCGCCTTTTAAATATAGCAAATGATTTTCTAATAGCAGTAGGTTAACTATGTTTATTTTTATTTATAAAAAAAAATATATAAAAAGCTTTTAATATTGTTTTCGCCAGTTTTTAAAACTGGCCGAGTTATTAGCAGGGAAATTACTCGCGTCTATATCATGAATATTATGATAATGCTTACAGAGGAAGAAAGACTGTAGGTATAACATCGTGCATTTAAAATTTCCATCAAATTAAAAAGTAGTAGTAGATTATGGTAAAGAAAATTTAGCATTGAATTTGTATTTATGGCCCTGTTCATAATACATTAATGAATACGAATGAGTGTATGAATATCGCCCTTTTCGAATAACCTAAAGCTTTCCCCTATATAATGTCAGAGGCGACTCCAATGAAACGTGTCCGGCCACGTTAACAAGATATGAAGCTAAACGTAAAAAATATTATTGTTAGGTAGAAAATATAATGAAAAAGTAAAGAATGCATGCGCTTTGTATCTGGCTTTTGGAAAAATCCAAAGTAGGACCACGAAAACATATCATAACTTAGATGTATGAGTATAGTTAAAACCAGTAGTGGATAAAGTACAATTATTTTATTATCGGTATTGTAATTTGTAGTGTTTATGAAACATTTTAGATCCTTTTAGAGTTAGAATTCGATACATATCAAGCATTACGGTGCTTTCAACACGTACATATCAAAATTATGTGATTAAATGTTAGATGTTATTTAATAAATAGTAGGTATATATATTATACTTCGTAGTGCATAAACTTTCTATCTCTAGCTATGATAGTTTGAATTTATTATTGACGTTTGTCTTTTTAAAACTTTTGGCAATGCGGGCTACGATGACAACGAAATGCTGATCACAAAGCAATTTAAAGTTATAAGATAAATAGTTTATAGAAGTTTAATAAAATGAAATTTCTTAAGGAGGTAGGTATTGAATTATCACATTATCTGTATGGAAAAATATCTTATCTATGGTCTGTCAACTGTCAATCAAATTACGCGGGAAAGCCTGTTTTGTCAGAAGTTACAAAAACTACCCTAACTACCTACCTTAGAATCACGTAGGAGTATTTCGTAGCTAATGCATAACGAAGTAGAAAATATAAGGGTAATAGAATATATTTAACTTGCGTCAGATCTCTATATTATATATTAATTAAGGACGGTGTTGTCTATGAATCTTTAAATTCTATTAGTTAATGTGTTTTGATCTATGTATATGGCTTATCTATTCTATGAAGAGAAATAAATGAATCATCTTGAATTCGACTTTTATTTAAACTAGTTTCCTTGAACTCATTTACTGACAGTCACTCCAAAAAATAAACGTTGAAATGGCTTACAATCTACACACTTACTATTTTGGGCATAGTTATTTCCTACAACAAATTTTAATTTATTTAAATGAAAAAATAATAATAATAGTATGTATTTTTATGATTCTAAAGTGCTCTTTACATATATTTAAAAACATGAAAGATCTAACAAGATATATTTTTTATTTTAGTTTTGAAAGATTTAAGAACCTAATTACCTTCTAGCATACATACAATATCTACCATAATCCTGATAACTAACAAAAAAAAATTAATGTCTTCCTGATCGATTTCGACCACAGCAGCCTATTTTACTGAGACTAGCCAACTGGCAGACAAAGGTACACGATCGACACGACTGGTGAAATAGGTATCGGGTACAGAAATGACGCGTTCCGTGTTCTTGAGGCTCGAGGGTGTACTATACATTGTCAACATGCTAACTCCTGGCTGTTACTAAGAATTTCTTGATAGAAATACCCAATAACTATACTTCGCTCGACCACAGATTCGAACCCATGGCCTCCGGATCCGCATGCATATTTGCTAGCCATTAAATCACCGAAGCAGTTTTTTTTTATTATTTAAACATCTACTATATAAAAATTAAAGGGAACATATATTTGACATCTTTGGCTCAGTTTGTAGTGACTCTACTTGCTGTGCCAGCGGTCGCGGGTTCGAGTCCCGCTGAGGGCATTCATTTGTGTGATGAGCACGAATGTTTGTACTCCAGTCATGGGTGTTTATATGTATAATATGTATGTATTTAAAGTTATATATGTGTAGTGTATCAACTATCTAGTATCCATAACACAAGCCTCGTAGCGTACCATGGAACTAGATGGTGCTGTGTGTTAATGTCCCAACATATTTATTTATTTATAACATTTTAACTACGTTTATTTATGACATTTTAACATTCGGATAACAGCTTTTTAAGATGACAACGCATGAGATTGAAAAAACGCTTGAGACTCCACAGACTAATTAGAAAAGTACAAAGTTAACCTTGATCTTATTTGTTATGCTGTGCCCCTACTTGACAACATGAAATTTTACATACAAAAAGTATGTAACAATTTATTTTTGTCGGAATCGGATTACTATAATGTATACAAAAGTTTGTATGTCTGTTTGTTTGTTACTTTTCACGCTGAAATGGACGAATTTTGATGAAATTTAGTAAACAAATAGACTATGGACCAGTAACAAGTAGATTTGGTACTGTAAGGCATCTAGCGATGTCTCGAGCAAAGTAAGGGGCATGTCATTAGTCTCAACGACATATTATATGTAGGATAAAGTAAGGTAAGCAGAGCTACAAAAAAAAAACAAAGAAAATTTATAACTTTTGTATTTAAACCTAAATATGTACAAAATTCCTACATTTTAATAAACATGTAGACATGCACGTATGTAGACATGCAATGAGAAAATTGTAAAGTACAAACCATCGATCAAAAAAGTACTAGATAAAGACACAATCAGCGAAAAAAAAGTTCTCACCGGATGAGCGCTCATTTGTACATTTGAGCGCGCTTTTATTTTTTTTTGTGAAAACAACTTTAAGCATTGCATTTTAAGTTCGATTTACATATTTATTACAATTAGAATAATTACCTAAACACAATAGGTGACAGTTTTAAGAGAACTTTTGCATGGGATTGTGTATCCAGTACTTTTTTGATCGATGGTATATACTATCATATTATTTTCAAAATATAAATCGAATAAAAAAAGCTCACATAACTTTCGACTCCCGTAAAAAGCTTTACAATAATAAAATAATTAAAGCTTACAAATCAACTTCATATAACTAAAAAAAAACTTATAGGATCAATTATTTTCCACTTAAATATACGAATTAAATTATTTAGAATAAGTTTACAAGCATCGAGCATGTTTAAAATAATAGATACTTGAGAAATCAATACAGATATTATTTGCCGTAATTACCTCCCTCTAGTGTCTGTTTTTGGAACTAACTTAACAGTAATAACTTGCAAATTTTACTATTTAGTCCGTGAAAAAGTTTATATAAGTTTAAAATCAAAGTAACAGAGGATAAAATACTTATACACAATTTTGACATTAGTTTCTCATACAATCTCTAGGGAAACATGTAAATGAATGAACAATAAAAATATTCTTTATATATACCAATGTAGGTACTTCATTATATATACTATATACTGCACTATATGCTGAATTACGGATATATATACATATCCGTAATTCAGCATAAAAATGGCCTAACACAAAAAAAGATCATTTTTTCATCTATTAAAAAATTACACATACGTCGCATCCCTATATAGATCTCGTCGATATCTATATGAATGAGTTATATGATAATCGATATCAAATACGACTTATTTCCATCTGCATTTTTATTACATATGACCAATTTTAGTTTGCGTCAATTTCCGTTAGGGTCGCTGCTTAGATGTGATCATGTGAGTAAAATACCAATATCTTCCAAATTATAATATCAAATCTCGTACTAAATGCCACGTTGTCCTTATATCTACAAAATAATTAAGGAAAAACATAACAAAAAATAATTATATACACATAAAAAAAAATAAGTATTACTCCATGTCAAAATGTAAAACAGAATAAAGATACTTTTTATTTATATTTTTGTTAGTGAACACTAATAATTACAGTAAGAAGACCGTTAAAAGTTGACATTTCTACAAGAAGAGCCATTTCACAATGTAATAAAAAAAAAATAGCACCAAATATCGATCAATTAATTCATTATTATTAAAAGATTCGAGTCATGACAGAACTGTCAACGTAGTTTTAGTATAAATATGTTCGCTGTCATTCTACGCGACATTGGCGAAGTAACCTGTGCTCAACTAGCACGTTTTGAAGCCATTAACAAGACAAATTAATTGAAAGATATTCGCAAATTAAAATGTATTCTATTACTATTTTCGTTTCACGTCTTATTCATTCATTTCGCTCATATATTAAAAATGATTTAAAAAAAAAATCATTTACATAATATTGAAATTAACCTATTTTAATCATAATATAAGTCAAACAAACCGATATAAGTCAATTTATCAATAGCTACTAACTTATATTCCCAAAGACTGTTGACGAATTTGATAACTCACGAGAAACCAGAGCATGTGCAAGTCCATAAAATATTATTTCCCTAAAACAGATCATTAGCCTTAAAGTGACACAACTGATGAAAAATATTATTATTAACCTGCGTAAGTCAGGTAATAAATATTTTACTATGTTATTTTCTCTTTAGAATATTATTTAGACGTTAGGCCACTTTACACCTTGTAATGTAACTATTAAAATAAAAAAAAATGAGGGGATCGTTATAAAATACGTAAAGATATTAAATAACACTTCTAAATAATTAATTGTAATACTGTTAAAAGCTATTTTGGAAATATGCGTATCTGACACAAACAATATTTACAGTGTAAAACTTATGGTTGGACAATTAAATTTAATTTAACAGACATTAAATAGACACAAGTGCTGTCAAACAAGAGCACACCACTAGATTTCCTTAATATATTAAAAAAAAATTTAAAAAAAGTAATTATAAGATTTGAATATAACAAATTAATAATAAGTAGTACTTATCAAATACTGTGTTAGGGTATAAAAGCAAAATTAAATGAAGTCGCATCCAAAGAAAGTTTCTTTACAAAAGTTGTAGTATAGAAATGAAAAATAATAATTTTCATACTAAAAAGAACAAAAATGTCATAGAATATCAAGCAAATAAATTATTTTTCTACAGTTACATTTAAAAATCATTTTTGATAGAATTTATTCATTTCATCGAGACCATTTACTTTTATACCCACGACGTTATAATTTTAAACTCAAAATATTAAAATTTAAGATTTATGTCACTTTATCATTCATTCTTAAAAACTATGTGGACAGTTAATCGGAATATCAACTTTGGTGTTATGTGAGAACTATACAATATACATCCATGTATAAAAGTGAAATGGAATGAAAAATACAAAAAATAATATAATATTTTTTTTTGTTTATAAATGAGGTTATTGGGGGACTGAGAGGCAAAAAGAGAACCGTCTCAACGTTCAGGGCGTTGAGACTTGTCTCTTTTTGCCTTTAATTATATATATATATAAGATATTGATATATATATTTTAATATATATATATATATATATATATATATATATATATATATATATATATATATATATATATATATATATATATTAGATATTGCCTTGGCAATACGTAATAATTTCTGAACCTACCTCCTAAAGAACATATATACATATAGCAAAACAAATCAAAATCGAGAACTTAAAAATTTAACTAGAACCTTAACTTAATATATTCTCAACTTAAAATGTATAGACTAACTCCATGTTTGAGGAATAGGATGTAATATAATTTGACTGTCACATATTTGCAGAGTAAATGTCTTTCATCTGGAAAATAGAAATTTATGTATCCACAAGCTACCACAATAAATAAGTAGGTTCCTAAAAACCGACATGGTTATTAGTAAACCAAAAGAACTGTTCAATGTGGGTCCACGTCCTTTATAGATTGTAATAATTAAAATAATAAAATTTGGTCACGACAACCGATCGTTATGAGATTATCTAATTTTGATTAATATCTTTGATAGGAAATACATTTTAACACGAAAGACACATTTCGGAGAAAAAAGGGCAAAAAACCAAAAATTTCATTACGTGATATTAGCTCTATTGAGAATTTTTTCATTGAGGACCAACAACAATAGGGGTCTAAGGGGGGATTTTGAGATTTACTCAAGCGCATTCTAGAGCAGTCAATCAAAATATTTAAAAAATAATTTGATAGCAGCGCGCGAGCTTATACAGAGGACTTTTTTCTTCAAATAAAAATTCTTAATCTGGCCAGTATTAAGACTTATATATGGTAGAGGTGCTCAACAGAGTGAAAGGTATTTATGTTAATCTGCCACGCTTGAGACAATGCCAAAATCCCCTGTTGGGCTCCCCTTCTACAATAACGTCTAGACCAACCCAAAAGTAAAATCAAGATGTGGGGAAGCTGCTTAATAATCCAATAATCAATATAAATCCAATAATAAATATCAAGATATTTTTGAATATGAACAAAAAGTAACATGTTTGCAGCAAGTGAACAAGATTTTTATTTGTCAAGGCTTTTGTATGACAAAGAACAGCGTAAAACGGTGCCATAAAAATAAAATTGAAGTAAACTTTCATTCTACAATACCAATCCAATCTTTAGCATAGAGTAAAAATTAAAAAATATAAATGGAAACACTTAAATTAACTGTAATCACAATTCACATTTACTTCTTACGTTTTCTAGGATTATGGTTCCTCTGTTGGTCTTCTTCGTCCATTTTGTTGTAATGTGACTGTATGTGAGTTAACAATTTCTTTTCGCGTGAAAACTTTTCATTGCACATATTACATGTATATTTCAAATCTTTATTTTCACTTTCCTTTTTCTGTACACTAGTTGAAGTTGAAATTTGTGACTCTTGAATAATGTTATTTGTTGGTAGTACATAAGATGGCTGCAGTAAAGGATCGACATTGATGAATGTAAAGAATTCCGTGTCTCTTGGGGGCGCGGAATCTTCTAAAGTTACTGAAAATGGTTGTTTACTGTCATCTTCTCTTACTTCGTGTTTCGCCTTTCTTTGACGTTTTTTGGGCAATTCTTCAGTTTGAGGCTTCGTAGAAATTAGTAGTTTGCTGGGGTTGCCAGTTTGCACCACAGTGTATGATTGTTTTTTCACGGCCGATGTTAATGTTGGAGAATTTATTATTGGCACATTCGTGGAGTTTGTTGTGGGCAATGTTTTGAATAAGCCTACTGGGTATGGTTGACTGATTGAAACAGGAGGAGTAGCAGTCGCCGGTTTTTCTTTGTTTAGGTTCATCATTCTTTTCGGACCTATTATCGGTCGGGTCGGCCTTATTGGTTCCAATGGTGGTACAGAAATCTCTACTTTCTCTGGTGTTACTGCTTTATCATTAGGCTTCTCCTCTACTAACGTGAACGTATTGTTTGGTCCAGGCATAAGTTTGTATCTACTATTTAAACTGGGCATTGTTGGAAATTGTACGACTGGTGTTGGAATGTTCGAATTAGCAGATTCTGTATTTTGATTTGGAGTTGAATTCGCTGGTTTATCTGTTACATCATCTCGTTTCACTCTACTTGCTGGACCTATTCTGGGTTTAGGTTTCTTTGATGCCAAAGGTTTATCATCATCATCATCATCTATTGATATGGGCTTATCATTTATTGGCTTTATAGTCTCAGTATTTATTCTAGTATTTATATATTTCACAGATGGTATTTTAGGTGGTTCAGGAACAACTGTTAGTTTTGGCTGAACTTTGGTTGGACCGTTTTTAGCACAGGCGTGTGACATTACGACTTCTTTCTTTAAGAAATTTCTATTACACAGTTTACATTGGAACAAAACACCTACGCCATTAACTTTAATCATGCTAACATGATCCATAATATTAAATGTTTTTACTGCTGGTGTGGTTTCACTTAAACTAAAAGTATTTGTTTGTGGTGGCGGTTTTTCAGTCTTTGATTCAGCAGGAGTAGATTTGACGGGTTCCACTTTGTCTTTTACAGGAGGATCAACTTTAGACATTTCAACATTTTTATTTTCTTTCTTTTCAATCACATTTTTAATTTCAGTGTTGGACCGCAATGATTTAGTTATTGGAACTTCATCAACTTTACTAATTTGTAACTTTACATTTTTTATTTGTGAGTCCTCGCACGCGTCATTATTTGAGTCTTCCAATTGTTTTGGTTCATCTTTCTCAACAGGTTTTTTTAATGGTTTCTTTATAACAGGTATTTCTTCTAAAGGTATGGGTTTTAAGGGTATATCTTTGATGCCCTCCATGGCTTTTTTGATAAGTGCGTCGCAAATATCATCATTAGAAATATTGGACTGATTAAGTTTCTCCTCCCAGATATCTCGATGCTTAGGTTTATTCACAATAGCAGCCTTGCTCCCGAGAGCTTTTCGTAGGTTATGTTGTGATTGTGTACATTGTTGTATAAATTCATACAACTCTTCAACCTTAACAGAACATCGGAAGCAAATTTTATGTGGCAGGTCATCATTTTCAGTGATCTGTAAAAAAAGAAAGAAATGTAGATAAAATATGACATAATTTTCACTGATCTGAAATAGAGCTTGAATAATTTAGGTTGGAGCCCGCATTTTAATATTTCCATGTAGCCTTAGAAAACTTTTTGAAAATAAGTAATACGATCACAAATATTACTAAAATCAATTAAACATAAAAAGTATTTGTATTGAGTTGTTCTTTTTCCAATTTTTAAAACCTAAAACACCTTTTTCAAAGGTTTTTTTCTAAACCCTGGACAAAATAAATAACTATTCAGAACCACAGCCTTTAGAATAAAGTCAGACGATTTACAACCTTTACTTGACTTTTTAACAATATGTATATCACAAAGTTGTGTTATCACAATATCAGACACAGTTGAAATGGCTAACAGTACACAATCGACGACTTATATTCCCTTTCTCTTCTATATACTGTACTCTGTCATCCTGATACTCCTTCCTAATTCAAAGAATGCTTTATGTTCCTGGACAAGTTCCCAGCTTACTCAAGAACTTCGCCCTTGCAGTGAAAGGTTGCTTAAAATACCTTTATCCCAAACTTAATCCTATAACTTATCTTTCACTATTAAAACTGTGAAACTCTGGAATGAGCTCCTAATGGAAATAAAGAAATCTAACTCAGTGAGCAACTTTAAAAGTGACTCAAAAATACTATTTGTCACATTAGGTTAGACTTTCATTATAACTGTACTATGTAATATGTTTATGTATATACATATATGTATGTAACTAAATTTTACTGTATTATTATGTACATGTAATTTAAATAAGTATCTTATATATGTAACTTTGTATGTATGTTTATTTACATTTAAATTTCGGCTCTTTTCTTTTATTTTCTGTATCCTTCTCGATAGGTTGCCTGTAAGATATCGCTTTCAGTGATAACGCCACTTCTGCACATTTCTTTAATTGTATTTTTTTTTGTGTATGTAACATTTTACTGTGCAATAAGTGTTTAAATAAATAAAAGTTAATACAAGAAGAAATACTTCTTTGTTAAAAAACACAATTTTGCAGTTTAAAATCGCTTCGTAGAGTACATAATATATATGGCATTATAATATATTGGGTAAATATGTACTTAATGGTTTACACATACATCTTTTGTTCTAATTTTCAATTACTTTTTTGCTTAAATATTGCTAAATTTTGTTGTTACCTACATAAGCATAAGCCTCCAGTTTTAAAACAGTAAAAAATCCAATTCCATATTTTTTAGTTATTAATTTTGGCACATGTAAAAGGAAAATTATATTTGTACTGACTCTAATAAGGGAGCAATGGTTTCATGAGACTATACTAGTAAAAATAAAAGAAAAACAAAATATTTATGAATTTTAAGCTCAATATAAAAAAGGTAACGGCAAATTTTACTTATATTGAAAATTTACCTACAAAGATTATGTAATAATAACATAATTTCCGAGAAAGCAGAAAATATCATAATTTCCCATACATTTAAATGGCAATAACATAATTACTTACATTCCTAATAAATAAGTGTAATATAATATGGAACTAATATAATCATATTTACACCTATAAAAAAAATACCTAAAAGGAAGGGTATCAATCAATAAGGCCTCATTTTCACCTCTGAATAATGAAAAAAATTATGTCATAAGATTTGATCTTTTCTTTACATACCTATTCTGAAAGAAGACTGAAGTAGAAGTATGTTTGATAAAAAAATATATTTAAGAGAAAAAAAAACTACAATTAATACTACTTGTGAACGACAATCAGTTTTGTCTAAGGTTTTCGTTCAAAATGAGACATTTTCAGTGACATTTCAATATTTTTTTTAAATAGCGCATATATAAAGCACTTTCTTATTTTTATGTTCCTATGTTACTACACAATATATTTTAAATTTAGTTTATTTCTCACATAAATATATTTTCTTACCAGGCTACTTTGAGAATAAGTAAAGAAAATATCAAATTGTATGACATAATTTTTTCATTATTCGGGGGCAGAATTAAGGCCTTAATGATACCCTTCTTTTGGATTTAACTAATAGGCTGTTTCATTTTTAAAACCTGAAATAAAAAAACAAGGGCAATGCAATGAAGCTATATGTAAAATAATCTAAAATAATGTTGATAATACAAAAAAATATTAAAGTTGAATAAATTAATATACACTAAAAAGAAATAGCTAGATTTCAAACCTCTTCAAAAATTTTTTACCATATTTATATACATATATAAAACATAATTTTATATATATTTTTCCAATAATATATAATACATAAATAAGAAATGCATAGCATATTTTTATAACATAATATTATGATGATAAAAATAATGTGTATTTGTGAATGCCGAAATAAATACTTTCACATTTAATAAACTAATAAATAATATAGTAATGATTAACTATTATACGATTTGCTGTCTTTAAATATTGATTTTTAGATATTTCAATAGGTGTTAAGATTACTGTTTACATTAGAAAAATTTGGAAAAGTTTAACTTAAAATACTTTAATTAAGAAATATTATTATAGTTTACCACAAATGGCATTACAGCTTCTATCTTCTTAGCAGTTATCATATCTGGATCGAATATATTAAGAAATGGGCCATCTTTCGTTTCACATAATCTACAAACTTTTAGAAAAACAGTCTGGTTTGCAGAACTGAGAGCTGCAGCTATCACTTCATCATTTATTTTGTCAGATATATTATTTGTTTTCTTTGCTGCTTTTTTTGCGTTTTTCTTCGAAATTCGTTTTTTACCCATCCTGAAGAGTTTCTTACTTAATTCTCATCAAAAAGGGGCACTAATTCACAATGTCTACAGGTGCTACAAATCGGCCATGTTGACCACGGGTCCAGGAAAATTAAAAAAAATACTAAAGATTCATTACTGTATCCTATATACTAAGATTTATGGCATGTGTTTAGATTTAGGATCAATATTTTTCCAAACGCAATGGAATTTTTTATAGAAAAATCAAGTGTTTGAAAGTGAATTCGAGATTCATTCGGTATTTAATTATCTATGGTTTATTTAATTATCTGTTATTTATTTATTATAAAAGGGATATACCAATTTACATTAATATGAATAAAAATGGTAATATTACAATAGTTTAAAAACCATGTAAGTTAAAAAAACTGCAAATTTTATTATAAGTTAAAACAATATAAAATGATTACATATTATAAAACATAAACCCTTTTTTTAACAGTTTTGTGTGTTGCTATATTCTTATAATAACGAACTTAATTGTAGAATTTAGAAATATATTAAATATGGTAACATTTACAGCAATCCGGTCAGCCATCTTGGAATTAGTATTGTGCCAGTCGGGGGGGCGGTGACATATTTTACCCGTCATCGTCCTACATAAATTTGTGAACTTGATAAAACGCGAAAATCAGTGTTAAAAAGTGTATTAATTCAGTTTATGTCTGGACTGAACGTGATGATGGCGGGTCAAACGATAAACGATAGGCTTCTTGCCGCTCGTCACAGTATCGCGGGGCAGGGATTAGCAAAATCAGTATGTAAAGCCACAACCGAAGAAATGATTGCACCTAAAAAGAAACATTTAGATTGTAAGTATTATTTTCAATTATAAAACCTTATCAACTACGTCACGTTTAATGTACATTTCTTAATGCGATGTTCGTGACATTGGCAGAATCATTCTGGTCGATAAGTTTTACGTCCCGACTACTTGACTGTGTCAAATCTTTTACGGCACATTCGACCACTATTACATTCTATCAGATTAAATACGAGTTTATAATAAAACATTTACATAATTCTGTCCCACGATGTTACCTCGAACTGACATACATTCTCTATTATGTCATATTGAATAGACTGGAAACACGGCTTTAGCAAGACTGTGTCAAAAGATAAAAAACTGATTACCCACTTATAAGAATTTATATAAGGTTCATTTCTCAACGTATTTATAAAAATCCAATCAGATTAACAAATCAATGCACTTGACTAAAACAGCTAATCTTTTCCTGCTTAGTAATTATTTCATTAAGTTTTCAAATCAAAATTATTGACAATTCATTATAAAATATTGATTAATTTTATCACCCTAATTTCAACTTTCATTTATTAATATTTAACATTGTATTATTATCAGTAATTAAAAATTAATTAATTTTAAACAATTGGAAATTGTAAGTTACGGTAAAGTGATAAAATTTTATGTATTGGTAAGTGCTGGAACTTACATATCAATTTATAATTGAACAATAATTAACACAATGTTTAATAAAATATTTTTGTTTCCTGGACTGTTATAGAACAGTGATTTGTTTGTAATCTTTAACATTAGATGTAATAAACAAATAAAAAAAAAACAGTTATAAAATAAGTCTTTTTTTAAGATATATAAAATTAACTATGAACAAAAAATACTGCAACAGACACAAGTTTTTCTGTCAAATTTCATGTTATCAATAATGAAAGATTTTGAAAATATATTTGATTTTTTTATTGTGTATCTAATAATTGTTAACCAAGTTTTTTTATTTTCTCTTTAGACATGAAAACCAGTGTCAGTCACCTGCTATAACCCATAGCTTCCCATGAATAAATAATATAATTGTACATAGCATGACATATTATTATGAACAGACATTGTTTATTGTGTTGTTTCATAGTAAGCATATTTTAACTGCCGCTTGGATATTAGATTCTGTGTTGCCAAGTGCTGTTTGTGCATTTAAAAATCATACTCAGGCTGTAATATTGACAGCGATGTAGCCATTTCAAGTTTAGTTAACACTGGCAATGTCAAAATATGCATATTATATCAGACAATTATTATTTGTCCCAAAGTAGAGTAGAAGAAACTTTTTGAATAGATGTGATATCAAGTGCAGGCTGAGAGGAATGATAATATGATATCACTTGTATGTTCTTTATTTTTATTTATTTAGAATAAATATTGAGTTTTAACTTTTTTTTAAATGCTTGTGACCTACCTTGGTTTGAAATTTGAGGTTTTAGTCTGAAAATAATTTAAAATAAAGTATTCACCATTTGTATGTGACATTTGTGAGCAATCTATGTTCAACTGGAACATTTTGAAGCCATTAATGTAACAAAACCATGTAACTAAAGAATTGAATTGAGTAACATCCATACTAATATTATAAATGTGAAAGTGTGTTTGTTTGTCTTGTGACGAATTGGCGTGATTTTTTGTGTGGAGATAGTTGGAGGGCTGGAGAGTGACATAGAATGCTTTTTACCACAGGATATTATCTAATTCCCATGGGAAAACATGTTAAAATACAACTCAAAAAATATTTATGATTAGAATTACTTGAAACTTGGTATTACTGCTCTTCAATACAATTAAATAAATACTATGTGTTTCGGCATTTTTTGAAATTTATCTCATAATGGGGTAAAATAGGGGATGAAAGTTTGTATGAAACCTACCTTTTTAGAGTTTTTTTTGTAGTTTTAGCGCGAGCGTAACCGCGGGTTCCGCTAGTCTTATATAAAATAAAATGGCCTCCCATAATATCCCATTAATACCACATGAATGTATATATAAAAATCTCTTCTCAACTTAAATCAGCCTTTTGTTAACGCATATAAAAAATATAAAAGGGCTGATTTTATTTCTATTTTTTGCCTAGTTCATATACTTAGGCAAAATGAGAAAAAGTAATTTAACCTTTTTGGATGTGACCTTCTAACAAATTTTATGTTGCTAGCCATGTGTTTTGGATATTATATCTGTTTCGTTTGGACAATATGTTTATTGTTAGTTATGATTATAGTGAAATACGATAAAAGGACAGCGTCGCTTCCTGTGTTATCGCATTGTTTACGATAATAATTATTAAGTACTTTATAGTTCATCACATCTCTATGATGTTGCTTTCGACATTTTGATTGAACTGTGATTTCTAAAAGAGAAATTAATTATGTATTATACGTTCCTCGTAAGGCAAGTGGTAGTTCAGTGGTAACACGCTCGCTTGGGAAATCAAGCGAAACGCGTTCAAATCCCGGGTCTGGCATCTATGACATGTTACTACTTTTCTTACGGTGAAGGTAAACATCGCGAGGAAACATGCTATGCCTTAGAGAACCTAGCAAGTTTTCGAAAAACATGTGAAGTCCGCCAACCCGCACTTTGCCAGCGTGAACTATGGCTTTTTTTTATACTATCCTGAATTAGTGCTTGACTACGTTCCACCTGATGGTAAGTGGTAACGGAGTCGTAGATGGTAAGTCGCACTAATTCAGTAGCCACCTATTCACTCTTGCCTTGAAGACACCCATATTACCTATAATCAGACGGAAACACCGACGCAGGCAAGTTGTTCCAGTCCTAGCCGTACATATAATAAATGACGTAGCGAAACTTTTCGTGCGGACGGGTGGAATGTCCACGATATAAGGATGGAGACCAGCCGTTCGTCGGGTTGTCCGATGGAGGAATTAATTCATGTAGTGCCTTCCCCAGTCGGCTTGATCCCCCACGTATTGAATGAAGCCCATGTCCGAAATTCGGACGTTTAAAAGGGCTGAATACATACGTTCCTCGTTATCGTCGTTATTAGCTAATTACAAATCGATTTTCAACATCAATTATACGAAGCATTAATTTAATTTATATTAATTTGGTTGGAACGTTTTAATTTGGCTGCTACTTTGCATTATTTACTGCGTGTGCGTGCGAGTCGTACCCACGATCGGTTACTTAAGTTCTCGCAACTACTTATTGTGTTAGTCAATGTAGTAATCTATACATATCGTCCCCTTTCTGTGTAAACCTCGTAACTCCATTTTTTTCGAAATTGAGATTTTTAGCGTAAATCAGTCCTTAGCACTCTTGTAACGTAAAACAAAACATGCAATGTTCATAATGTTGATAGAATTTTTTTAGAGGCTTTTGATTTTTCTCGTATCTACATGATCGAATTCAAAAACCTCGTATCTACCGTAAGTATCGCTGAAAACGTTAAGATGGCGTTGTTGTCTTATTACTGAATGTTTGTAAACATGTTCACACTTAAGTTGACTGTATTTTGTTGATTGACATTTATTTTTTATTCATATGAATACATATAAAATTATTAAAATTTGAGACAACTATTATTCAGAAATATTTAACTGTTGGTCATACACAAATGGAGTGCGACTCTGTTCATTCATCTATTGAAAGAAAAAAGAAAAACAAAGAACTCTACGTGCCAGCAGATTTTGTTCGCATCATCAAAGAAGCTAGAATGAATCCAGAGCCATATAAAGTTATTTATGTTGATCACACATTTTTTAAGGATTTTTCTAAAATAAATTTTTACAAATCGATAAGATCCGGTTCAAAAACAGGAGATCCACAAGTTACTGATTTAAAATGTCTTAAATACGATTCAACTGGGCTGTATTATAAACTCGATTACCAGAACGATTGGACCTTATTACCTCAAAACAAATCTAGAATAAATGTAAATCGAAAAAATATTATCACTCCGTTATATAAAAAAACGATTTCTATTACATCAAGAAAATTCAAAGATTTGCAAAGTTTGAAAAGATTGCTACCCCAAGATTATCATAATTTCTATGATCAATTAAAAGTTGAATCTACTGTAGAAGAATAAGTTTAAAAAATTGTAAAATTGATTCTTACTTCTTAGTTCTAGTTATTGTTCAAGTTATTTCTTATTACTTATTTTTCAGATTATCCTGCTGTTAATTTGTACATTATTCAATAAATTGTAAACATATTTGAAAAAAATAATTAAATCATATTATAAATAGTAATCATATGATTTATAACACATTAAATCAAAATCAAATGAATTTGTTTTAATTAATAAATATAAAATAATAATGAATTGAATGTGAAAGCCTTGCATAAAAAAAATTTTCGCCAATGATCTTATAGAAAAAAAATAATAATTTCAAAACCTCGTATCTGCAAAAAAGTTACCAGGGTATTTGATGAAAAAACTCGTATCTACGTTAAATTGATAATAACAACAAGGTATCGATGCAGATAGCAAAAATGATGTTTAATTATTTTAAGGTGATAAATAAAGAGTATAAATTTTAAATTAGTTATAACTTTTTATGAAAATTAAGTAACTCTAAACGTTTTTATCGATTTACTGAAAATTAAGATTTTGTAGATACGAGGTTTACACAGAAACGGGACGATATATAATAAAATTGTAACTAAGCCGAATCTGTACATTAAATATTTTTTGGAAAATCTTATTGAAATAGACATTATTATCGATACAGAGGCCGAATCTATAGCTTTTTAGAATTTTTGTCTGTCTGTCTGTTACCGCATCACAGAAAAACCACTGGAGGTATTTTGATGAAATTTGGTATGGTGATAGCTGGTTATCCGGGTCAACATATAGGATTCTTTTTACCGCGGGAAAATATCTCATTTCTGAGAAAAAATACAAAAACTGCATTATAAGATTATACTAATATGTAAAATCTAAGAATTTCGTTTTTGGTCATCTGAACGCGGGCGGAGCCGCGGGCAATGCTAGTATATGTATATATTTTAATACGTAATCTGTGATAAATGTTGTGAAATGAT